CTAGGCTCCCCAAGAAAGCAGAGGGGAGGTCCTCTAAAGTCCCCTCTGGGGTGCCAGAATTTGTGACTGAAAGTTCGGTTCCTGTCCTCGAAGCCAATTAATGCCAATTTAATAATGAGGACAGGGTTTTGAGAAAAAGAAAAAGGGAGGTATCAAAGTTCTTAGATCCCTGCAGGCATTTCCCTCTGCAGTGGGTGCACTCAAGCCAACTAAGGGAAGGAAAGAAAACACTGCTTCCCTAATCTCGCTTGGCAAAGGGGAGTAAAGTTTATCAAAGTTCTTTAAAACCCAGCTAAAAGGGGTGTAAGAGGCGAGAACAGAAAAGCTGGCAGTTCTATTGACGTTTGGTCCCTTACAGGAGAAGCACACTAGGGACATTCTTAGGCTAAAATTTAGCTAAAGTTACCTCCACACATCTAAGGCAGATGGGAACTTGGGACTCTGCATCTGTCCAAAGTAAAACAAAGCCATCACACTCAACAGAGACACAGACAAAAAGACACAAAAAGACACACAAAGTCACAGATTCGCTTTTCAGATTGTCAAAAAAAACGAAAGTGGGTGCTGGCCCCAAGCCAACTGGGGCCTTCCCTTCAGACAAAGGGATTGGGGGAGCATCCCCCTCAGATTGGGTCTGACGACCCCAGACTGGGAGATTAGTTCTCTTGCCAGGGTGTTGGTGTGGAGACAGACAGGACAATAGGAACAAACACCCATAACACAGAATTCAAAGCGCGGCCACAGAATTCGCAGCATGTCGTGGATTGCTACCCGGAAACTAAAGGCTCAGGCGGACTTCGGATCTGTCAGCCACAAAATACTTTACCAAATACTTCACAAAATACTTTACTACAGGCAATCCACTCAGAACCCAGAAGGGGCTGGGGATGTCTCCCACAAACCCCGTCGGCTGCCCCTGGACCTTTTGCCGACCACACAACACAGAACCAGAACCTGCAGGCAACAAGAGTACAGGATCTTACACATCGGCGATACCTTTACTTACTGCCGGGTTTTCATCACCTCTCAATCGGGGTGTCTGGGTAGGCTTATTAGGGGGATCCCAGACGAGCCCCCATATGTTATGCTCAAATTCGGGACCCCCAAAAGACCACCAGAGACCAAGATCAATGTAAACAGCAGAGAGGTGTTTATTGGGAGCTAGCTGGGTCCTCCGCGTGCACAGCAACTGGTGTCGCTGAGAGGCCCCGAGCCCAGGGTTTGCAGCAGTTTTATACACTCTTTGGAGAAGGCAGGGACCCCCACATACATCATAGCATCTCTTAGCAAATCATCACACACC